AGGGGTACAAATAGAATCTGGCCGCTGAGGGAAAACAGACTTTAGAGAGAGTGTTCTAAATACGTATCTTTAAATAAGGTGCTATCCAACTTTTTAAAACCGGTTATTTGAGCGCAAGTTTTGCTTGAAGGTAATGCAATTACTAAAAAAAACCTCAAAAACAATTCTTAATGACCTTAGCAGTTGACGCGCCCGGAATCATCAACCAATCCAGGGCCAAATGAATCCTTGTGAAGGCCTCGGAGCGGTCTATATGTGGAGGCCCTAACAATTCACTCCATTATTCAATGATGATTTTTGCTTAGGGTCAATATTAAGCAATACATCGCCAGACAACTGACTTCAATAAGACGCAGTCTCCTGGACGACGCGCGTTGGCGTACACCGGGAGCAGGCGCGCGCACAAGGTTACGTGTATTTCACCGATCTTTCTGCAATAGAGAAAATGACTTCTCTTTGATTTCATGCGATTAATTTTGATTTTTTACTTACAGTAACTTGTTTTGTCATTTTTTACAGTACTTTGTCACTGTTCAATATGTATCACCAACATTTTTCATCACCAGGTTCTCATCTACAAATGTTTGTTGGGACAAAGTACATGCTTTGTTTTTGCACGCGCTGGAATGAAAACAGTGTACTTCACAGTTTATAAACAAATAGGTTTTCTCGAAATTGAGTTCAGCACGAGTTCTATCATTGCATCTGCTGCTAAGAATGTTGACCACAAATCTAGCAGTCTTAATAGCAATCCTACTAATCTCCAAAGACTATCTATATATTGAATGAAAATCCGTTCCATGTGTCTGTAAAAAATACTTTTTTCTTACAAAGCATTTAATTACTTTTAGACATGAGGAAATTGACCGAGATATTGATTCATTATCCCTTAATGTATTTTATTACCCGTGAGCTTTTCCAGCGATTTCGTAATATCTATCATCGTTTGGAAATCACATCGCAAATAATTTGCGGCTTATCTCTGCAAACATGATTACAACTCCCTGCGATAAATGTATTATCTCGTCAACGCTGGATCCCACTTATATTTTTTGGGAAACGTTTAACAGAAATTATAGATTAGGTCGTGAAGTGTTTTGGCTTCTTGCTATCTGTGGATAGATAATTGACTGCGTATTTATGTAGTAAAGAGAAAGTATTGGAATGGGCTGACAAAAAACTTCATCTAACACGTGTGGTGGGAATCCATGTATGTGGGTCCTCGATCCGAAAAATCAATGAACACCCAAATGGCCGTCTGCTTGTTCTTCTGTTTGTCTGACATTAGCGCCTTCTGCCTTCGCCAAATGTTCAGATGGTTTCCTCCAAGACTCCTATTCCCCAATCGGTCTGAACGATCCGACGGCGTAACGAGTTTAAAACGGGTATTTTAATTTTTGTGGGTAGTACTTTACGCGAAACCACAACATTTTCAAAATTGTCTCAAAAATGACTACAATTTTTTTTATTTGACTCCCGGATCGAGTAAAGAACGTTTAAAATGACGCAGGTCTCATTTTTGCTCGTCACTATTTTTTTAAATATTCCAATAATTTATATTTTTTGTCATCCTACAACTACAATGTTGAAGATAGAATGAACTGAACTTTTCCTAAATGAACTGTTGTTCAAGGATAATAATGCGGCCATTACAGATCACATAAGGTCTTAATGATATGTTACGTACTATTTTTACAAAATATGAGTTGTTTTCGAATAATTTTGTGAGAAATGTAGGCAATTTTAAACAATTATTTTCTCTGCAATTATTGCTTTCTCTTAAACTATTTATTGCAATTTTTCCTCGTATGTAGCAAAGAACTGTAAAATCGGCAGCCCATTTTCGACAAAATCTCTATATTTTTAAAAATTGCGCAACAACATTGCAAAAGTACAATATTCATAGAGATTACTTCCTCAGGAAAATCTGATCTAAATAATTAGATCTTCACGAGAGATCAAGTAAAGTTTCTTTAAAAAGTAAAGAGTCCTTTTTGGGGAATTTCTGCTTCAAATTAATGTACATTGAAAAATAGTCTCCAAAACGGCCACAAGTTTTTCTGTATTGTTTATCAGTAAATAGAGAAAAGGAATCTTAAAAATGGTGCAGGTTTCATTGTCGTTGAAATCTGAATTTTTGAAAAATATGAACGTAAGAATAATGCAAGAAAGTATGCTGTTGTTGCACCATAAATCTGTAGGGTGAATGGAAGTTAAATCGCGGCAGATCTTGAAGTTCTTGAGATAATTTTCGAGATTATTATAAATTTCTTCAATATTAACAGTAGTTCTTTTGGAATTAAGGTGTAACAAATATTATAAATTTTGAACAAAATATTGAAAGATACTAAAACTATAAAATTGGCTCCCTTGTATTAGTAGCGATTGATATTATGACAGTAAACATTCTTCCTTGTTGACTCGAAGAAGTTTGCAAGCGGAACGTATTTATTGCATAAATATTTTTTTCTTGATTTTCGGTAATTACCTGAGAAAATTACCTCGGTAAAAAATGTACATAAAGACTGGCGTTGTTATGTAAATAAATAAAAACACCATTATGTCATCACCTGAAAAGACGACATAATCAAAATGCGTTCTGCTAGTGCATAGTATTCCTTGGGGACAAACGAGGAAAGAAATGCACTATTAAATGACACACATATCGATAAAGCTAGATTAATAAAGCAAATAAAATATTTTAATGTACATTTACACATTTCCTGGTAGAGCACAAATGTCACGGACAAGAATCCGGTATTTTAAAACCAAAACATTTTCAGATAATTCAGAAATAAATATAAAAAATTACAAATAGAATAACTATTTTTAATATTTAAAGAGTAGAATTGCTCTTCTATTATTAACTCTATTAATGTACTTTTTATGCACTGATCTAGTGAATGGTCAAGTAAAAGTCCAAATATTTATTAAAGCTTATTATGTGCACTACGATCAAGATACACTATGTAGAAAAACAATCGAAGCTTATATTTGAATCAGTTCTCTTAAATTGGCTTTAATATCACGCCATAAAATGTTATTGTACGGTTGAGACATCGTGCCTTTTGCAACATGATTGACTTAAATAAACATTAATACAAAGAGAGATAATTTATGTGTCTTGATGTGTTGTTGGCAAAGTCACTTCCATAATGTCAAGCGCAGGTAGCCTATATGGATAGTAATGATAATTTTCCTCCTTAACATTAATGAAAATTAAGGATATTTTTTCCCTTATTAGCTGTTACATCTCTTTTATAATTACATGTTTCGGGAAAATTACTCTGGTAAATTTATCTGAGGCCGTATCGGTGCCCGAAACGTAAGGTGAGCAGATCTGAAAAAGCAAGAAACGGGAGGAGACATTTCCTTGATTGAAAAACGGGGCACAGGCATGCCTGCATTCAATTAAGATAGCTCGCTAAAGGGCACAGAAACTCACACAAGCAGAATGTTCCAATTATCCCGGCAACGATATCGATAAATGATATTTAAGCTCAAATGACACGATAGCTCATTTTTCCTACTTACCACCACTGAACCTCTCCCGTCTTGATTTGAAATAGACTGTGAAGCACTCTTGTTAGGTGATACATGAGCGCGTGATCTACCCGCGCTTACGTTTTCATTAACTAATGCAAACCCAACATTATGGTAAATTTAAAATGGTTGGCAGGACTTAATGCCGTCACAAAAACGAGACATTTGATGACCCGATTTCTTTCAAAAAATGCGGGACAAGGACTCAAAAAGGGACTTTTCCGGCAAATACGGGAGGTCTGGTACCCGAAACGTTATGATTGTAATGAAGATATACTTCAATTAATGATGTAAACACCCACGAAGAAACGTTTGAGTTACTGTAATAACAAGAGGCAAGCTGCTGGGCCTACCTCGATGTCCGGAGGGTCGCGGCTGACGGCGCGCGGGGCCTGCGTGGGGGCCAT